GTTGAGATATTTTAATTTAAAAATTAAAAAAAAATTACTAAAAATGATTTGTCCCTTTTCTATTGACTCACCCCTATTTTTTTATTTACATGTTTTGCCAGTTCGTCTAGATTAACATTCCACTTATTTGACTGAAGAAATGACTTGATCTGAATCAAAACATCGTCATCCCATAAAAAACTCCAAGTTTTTGGATGTTTGCCTTGTCTTGAAATTGAGAATTCACTATTTTTAATATAATTTATTGCCCATGCATGTATGCAACGAGCATGATAAACACCTTTTCTAGCTGCTTCTGCCACAATAATGCTTGCCTCAATCCTTTCATGGCTATGCTCTACAAGATGAAAATAGAACAGTATTGTATAAAGACATGCCTTTACTATCTCACTATATTTATTACTCTTGATTTTTTTTTTTCCAATTGCTTAATAGTATTGTTCAAGTATTCTAAGGATATAATATTGTGACTTTTAACAGTTTTAACTTCAGAGTCACTTCTAAAAATTTTGAAATCACTATCTGAACCAAATGTATTGCTCATACTATCATCATTAATATTTATATGTTTATTCATCTTTTTAAAAAGATTAATTAAAGTAATTTAACATTAATTCATATTACAATTAGTATATGTATTTAGTGAAAAATAACTTACAAGTAACCAAAATAATTCTAATTTGGGTGTTTCAGCTGTAGCTTCTCGTTGTATTTGTCTCTGTCTTCTTTTTGCTCTTTCTGAGTTTCCAATATATACAAGCAGCTGATGAGTTGTTACTTCTGGAACTGTCTGCATCAACTTTGTAATCACGTTATTTGCTTCCTCAGATTTCAAAATACTTATTTCTCCTTTCTTAACATCAATAAGTTCATCACTACTGCTGCTACAAGTTTCTGAAGCTTCTACCTGGTGCCATCTCTTAGCTATCCTTTGCACCCTAAACTTTCATGAATGAACCTTTCTTTTTGTTAATCATCCCATTCTGGTGAAATATTATATTTGACAAATGAGACTAATATTGCAAAGTCGATTGAGTATTTAAATACCAACTTTTTTTATATAAGCATAAACTATATTTTATTTTATTTTTTTTTTTATTGTCTTTTCTTTTGATATGTTTTATTACATGATTCAATATTTAAATAGTGTATGAATTTTTCACACCACATAGTTTTAGAGATCAATGCTAGTTTGAAATATCCATATTGCATTCTTAGATAAGTATAGTTTCATTAGTTCATTCTAATATATTTAACTATTTAACCTGCTTAAAGGTTAAACAGGTCTTCACCAACATTGATCTTTCTTATTCGTCTATCTTACCCACAACTACATATAGCATTAGGTAAAGTTTCTTTTTTTTTTATTTCTGCTTGTTCTTTTTTTTTAATTTGATACTAATAAACCTTTTTTTAATAGCTTAAACAATTATAGTTCTGGAGAATCTTCTAAAGTTTTTATTTCATTTTGTTAAAAAAAAAAATCTCTATTGACTTACTATATTTATACAATACTTACATACTACTGAAACATATTAATACATTATTACAGATTTGGTAATAAGATTATGCACAAACTATAATAAACTTACCGTAACAATTGTGATAAAGTTTATTGATCTTCTTGATATATATCAAATACTATATTACAGTAATTATGTGATTTATTATTATGCATTCTGGCCAATAGGATGCTTTATTTTTAGTATCATATGACTGGCCAAATTTTTAGTTTTATTAATAAAATTAACTAACTTTAAAAGAATTCTACACTATAAAATATTAATTAATTAAAAAATTAAATATTATAGTTATGTTCTTTAGGTTATATTTTATTATTTTATAAAAAGATTTAGTTTGTAATTGTTATAGTTTTTTGTTTATAAGATTTTAAAATTCATGTATTTTATTTGTTGATTTAAGGATTCCTGCACTGTTAGGGTTCCTCAAACTCAAATCAAATCAAATATTAGGCTAATTTGAATTTGATTAAATCAAATTTGTCTTGATTTGAATTTGATTTGATTTTAAAAACTTGGATTTGAATTTGATTTGTATTTGAATTTTA